CTATTCTCTTCCCAATAAGGTTTGTTGACTGAGGTTGCATAAGGGTTCCTATACTGTTAACCGCAATGAAACTGTAGCAATGTAGCAGTTTTTAATGTTGTTGTTTAGCAGCTGATTACTGTTGGCGCAACGATGAATTACAAATCAAAAATCGGGTAAGTTATTCGGTAAAAATCTCAGAAGTGCAAGAATTGAGCGACAGCAAAGTACAGTGAGTGGAAAAAGTCAAAAAAAGTATTTGCAGACCGATGGAGCCGACGGAACCAGTCGTTATTGAACAGTATTCTGACTGGCTGCACCCATTTAGAGTCCTGAACAGTCGCTTGCCCTCCTGATGTTGCACATTATGTATGATGTGCGAAAAACTGCTTAGTGGAGCTCCAGCTGTGCTGAGCAGTTAGATCCCAGGTAGCACCAGTTAGTCGTAAAAGAACAGCAACAAAAAATTTTTCGCACATCCATAATTTCTGTAGCAGTCAGTCACTGAAGTAGCGTAAACAACAGGGTTAAAAAATAAAGTAGAAACCCTACAGTTTTTGCTATCATCTTAACTTTAACACTGAAAACCCGTGGAAACGAAGATACCGAAGTTTGCCATAACTTCTTCATCTCTTAACTTTAACACTGAAGACCCGTGGAAACAAAGATACCAAAGTTTGCCATAACTTCTTCATCCAACTGTCACTGTTCACTAAAATTGCAAAGAGCAAGTTTTCTTATTAGGAATTGGTTGAACAATTAGTTTAGTGAATTTCGATGAAGTTCAAGCTTCTATCTGAAAATTTGTTATCGTCGTCTGTCTAAAACAGAAAGTGGCTCACCAGTATCGTTGCAAAGGAGCGCTTGTTTTTAGTTTTATCAGTGCATTCTAAGAAGCTGTAGATGCGATGAAGCAAAAAAAAAAAAGTTAACAGTAAGTTTTGGAGTTTTACTTTGCTTCTTCCCGTTGTACTTCTAACTCATTTGGGATTTCAACATCAAATTTCAGCAGTTTGTGATGTAAATGATCCTATAAAACTCACATTTAAAATAATTCAGAGAAACCTTTTTCTCTGATACAATTTTGAACTTTTATTTTTGGTTCAATTCTGATTTAGAAGTGGTGTGGGTGAAAACTATTTTTTTTAATGTCAGAAGACGTAAGATATCTGTTAAAGAAATAATATTGAGAAATTGAATAAAAATTGCTAAAACTACAAATTCTAGGGAAGAAGAAATGTTGCGACAAATCTGAGCGCCGAGGAGTTGCATTTCCCAAACCGTTAACCAGTAGATGGGCTTTTTTTGATCAGTAACTTTAATAACATTTATAAAAGTTCATCGATTTAGCCAAAACACTGTTTTTAGTGTTTTGTGTTTTATAAATATGCCTTATGATATCTGTTCTTTCCTAACTGTTTTTCACAAAGTTTTTTGTGGCAGTACGAGAAAATAAATTATCATTATTATTATTATTATTTAAATGGCGCTTCTGTATTATAATTTTTAACAGGGATTGTTGGACTGAATTTGGTATATTGTAAGTTGCTTTCAACCTTGTAGGGCCTTTTTGCTTGTTTTTCTACCTAATTCGGCTAGTCTTTAAAGTCGGGCGTGTTTTCTGATCCAAGAAAACAAAAGAGAAAAAAATTTCTAATTTTTATTCGGTTCTCATTTTTAATGATTTATGATATTTGAACCTGCAAGATATTCTCTATCATTGATGAAAATTGTTTGCCGACTACAAGGAAGAATATCAATTTCACTGGAGTAATAGTTCTTATTTTGATCCTCAAAATACTAATCTAAGAATTTCTGCTATTATTTGGTTATCTGGGATCTCTTTAGCCCTCCAGTATCGGCTAATAAGTGATAGTCTGAAGAGGAAAGGTCCGGACTGCCGGCTAGATAAAATAAAATTCTCTCATTTAAGTTCCTCAAATATTCTTTGGGACAATGAAACCACGTAGGCCATCATTATCATGCTGTTGAAGAACCCTTCTCTTTTTATGCCCAATACCGTTGTTTCTGGACTGCTGTAGCTAGGTACCTTAATTTTTGAAGTCTACTTCTGTGCCACCTAATTACTTAAGTGTAAGGAGCTAATGTTGAAGAATAGTTCTTTTGCTACACCAAACGCACAGATTTATCTCGTTCAGATAATGGAATGAAGTTCACTTCTCATTCCATCTTTTCGATTCTAATAAAAAAGCTTTTTCAAACCTAATAAGCACGAAGAAATTAATGCGCGTTATATGATACTTGATAGATTTCAACTGTTTATAAGGTAGCCGTTCTCTTTAACTTCTGAATCTTGACTGCCTCTTCTGATCAATTCATAATCAACGACTGGTCAGTATCAAATTCCATGGTCAGTTTCCAGTGACTAGACGCCTATTATTTTCTGGTAAACTTTTTAAGTCTCTTCCTTCTGCTATTGCTGTTTTTTAAAACCTCCTTCTATATCCCACAATCTTCACCAAAAAAAACTCTTGCTGGTTGACTCTGAATCATATAACAATCTTTATACAATTTTTACTAGATTTTTTCTAATTACACTTGCATCGTTTCAGAATTTATGGAGAAAGTGGTCTGGAAAAGCATCTTTCAACTATCTTTATTAAAAACGGATCACTTTGAGCAACATGTTCAGAAAAATCAAAAGTAATAGCATTAAGCGTATAACATTTGCCAAATCTGTTTCTTTCTTAAAGGCGGTGTAACATATACGGCATTTGAGTGCCTTTAAGAAAAATCACAAAGTGAAGAAAGAAAAGACAGAAAAAAGTCTGGAATTAATCTACTGTATATTTTAGAAATACCTGACTTTTAGTAGTTGACACCTTTAATAATTCAAATGACTTATTTTGGTTCGTTTCTGTAGGTACTTATTTGCTTTTATGAACTTTTACAAGAGGACCTGTTT